TTCCGGGGTTTAGCCTCCAACCATGAGAGAAATTTCAAATTATTCAGATGCCTGCCGATGGAGAGAGGGAGGAGCTGCAACTCCTCTACATCGAGAAGGTGCTGTAGATGCAGATGCACGTGAACCACAGTCACCTGCGGATATGGGGCTTCAAGCCACGTTGGTGTTGCTCGAGGAAATCAAGCAGGGTGGCGTTGTGGATCATACGCATCAAGTGCTGAGCATTTCTTCCAGTAAGTGTTCCATCTCTCTAAAGTTGCAGCCATTGTTTCTAGCAGCTAACCGATTTCACTCTACTCAGAGCTACTTCAGTGCAGCGATTTCAGTGGGATGGCAGCTGATTAACAGTTATCGAAGTACATTTGACCTACTCCGATTGCTCCGTCGGTAAATCTAAAGTCTATAAAAGAAGATGAGTCGCACTCGATTTCTCATCTGTGACCGAGGTGCCGTTGTCAATATATTCAGGCTGCCCTTGAAAGCAGCTATTCAGCGGGAGCATTCTTCTCAGAACCACAACCTTTTCACGTTTGGGTTTCGCTCTTGCTGACTTGAGGAGTCGCTTCTACTCGGATGCTTTTGGCTTCTACATCATCGTGTGCTATTTTCAAGTCAAGACGGAAGATAGAAGAGAGAGTTAGGAGGGGCTGGCTTCATAATCTCAGAACTAGTCGCACAGTGCAGCTCCGGCAGCTCTGTTGGACCAGTTTGGAGTTTATGATGTCGGATGTTGCATCAAAACAAAACCCCTGGGTTCCCACAGCTGGCTCCCAGTAAGTAGGGACAATGCCATGTCTTTAACAACATCAGCAGATTGTGGTAACAAATTCCTCTCCAACCGAAAACTTCACGAAATTTGCTCCATATCCTAAGCCATAGTGTATCCATAATACATCCGCCATCGCTAAAACGTCCTCTCATCCTCCCCTTCCGCCTGTTTGCTCTCCCGGGTTTGGCCGGCATCCAGATCCCCAACAGTGGTTGATTATGCTCTCTCTACGATTCGGAAGGTTTGGACTTCCTGTTTGGACTGTCTCCCAGCCTTTTCCTCCTCCCCCTGCTGCTGCTGATGCCTCCTCGAGCCTCCAAGCCCCTGTGACTCATCTTCTAGCGCACCTCCATCATCCCAACCATTCCTATTCTCGAGAAGGACCTCCATCCTGGCCGATACACCACTCTCGGGAGGCTCAGAGGTTCCTGTACTTTGTACATCCACACAGCTGATTCTGTACAGATCTAAAGAACTTATGTAGCTGTCCACCTTATACTGCTTGAGAATGGTTCGGTTCCCAGAATTGAAAGTAGTATGATTTGGTCATGAATACATTCACAAATCGTATATGCCTTACAAACTTACAACTTAACTTTTCATTCCACTTGAAAACAATAATTATCAGAGTTGCTCTCACACTGCTTCATAATAGTCTTGGATTTGTATGTACTTAGGTCTCAGATCTAGCCTCAGACCTCTTGCTAATTCTTCCTGTGATTCATCAGCCGTCATAGACGGTCAATTCCCTGAAGGAGTGTTACAGAACAAATGCAAATTCGAGGGCAAGGTCGGACGAAGCTGCAAAATCTTGAGGACATTAACAGAAACGATAGACTTCTTGGTCGATTGTACAATATGATATCCCTTAAAAACCTAGTTTCTAGCAAAATCATCCAGAGAGATGTGAAAGCTATGACTCTTGCCACTCTCGGAGTTGAATACATCTGATGACAATGGATGTTTTCCTGTCATGACTAGGGATAGGAGGAGAATGTTAGAATTCTCCTACCGACGTGGTGTCCATTAATGGTGAACCTGATCATGGGAATTTCGGGCTTGGGTAGAGCAGGGATGGTAGTTCTGTGAAGATAAATTCTCGTCATTCGATTTATCTCGGCAGTTCCTCTCGGTCCTGCCACGATAGCTCCGCTGGTAGTCAAGGTTTGACTGGACTTTCTGAAACCAGAGACACCATGATTTCGTACCTTTGCTGTATTCGAGAAAGTGAGGTGGCAGCGATATCCGATGCAAAAGTCCATAAATATCACGGAGAGGCTGCACCACTTTTTTCCCTTTGGTCTGATCAGTCATCGTGTAATTTGCATAAAACTCTGGTCATTTTCGCACAGTTTGTCAGGACAATTAAAGGCTGTGTCAGGACCCATGTGACTGAAGACCTGAGAATACTGAAGCACGTTGACAACAGAAGGCTTGTGGTAGCTGTAATACTTTCATATCTGTGTTTATGCTCTGCACTGAAGCTTTGCTCTTCCTGGTGCGGAGTAATGGCTGATGGTTGATAGAAGTGGACAGCATCAAATTATTGCACTCCACAGCCTCAACGATAAGATCCAATAGCTTTTCCTACTGATTGCCTTGCTTTCCCGATATAGAACTTCCGTCACAATTATCATTCTCATCTCTTTGTTTCGTTTATGTCGGGTGTTTGTAACCCGCCGTAATGCATGAGCTTAATAGTAAAACATGTTTTGAAAAAATTGAACAATATTAACAATCCACCTAAGCTTTTAGTATTTTGAATAGACTGAATCTTGAAAGTATATTCTGTTCCAGTTTATGTGAACTCCAACAATCATCAAAACTTGAATTCACAAGAGATCTCAGTTTATATGAACTCCAACAATCATCAAAACTTGAATTCACAAGGGATCTCAGTTTATGTGAACTCCATCAATCATCAAAACTTGAATTCACAAGGGATCTCACCAAGTGAAGACAAGCTCGTGAGTCCAGGGGTTCCAGATGCTAGGTAAGGTCCCAAGGAAATTGTCCGTTAAAGTTGGGATTGTATACAATAGCATCCTTGTCATTTTGGTGTACAATGTGTCTTTATTTGATGATACTTCCTATCTGAAATTGCCTAGTCATAAACAGGCCCTAATGAATTGTTAAAGTTGGGATTGTATACAATAGCATCCTTGTCATTTTGGTGTACAATGTGTCTTTATTTGATGATACTTCCTATCTGAAATTGCCTAGTCATAAACAGGCCCTAATGAATTGTTTCGAACAAGTTGTTATTTAATAAAATTTACAATATTACATTTTCTTTAGGATTTTTGAACTGCTTTCGAGATTTTCACTTCACAATTCTTAAGCTTTTTCAGTTGTTTTTGTTTTTTTGCGCTTTTATTGTTTATCTGTTTGATATAGATGCATCATCAAGAATAATGCAAGTAAATTATACTTCAATAGTACAACTCTACTAATGAGATTAAAAAGTGGATGTAACTAAAATTGAAACAGAAAGGTTATCTCAGCAAGAGTTGTAAGTAACTTTTTAAGGTGTATATTCACATACCTACACACACCAAAACTCCTGATGCACATTCCATTCAAAGTGAACTAATACTAAACGGATGAAGTAGTGATCACTTGATAATACCTTATAATGACATACTCCCAACTTCATCCCTCATTCACGTAGGAATGCAGCCAAATGTTTGAAAGATATATGTTATCCCAACAAAAATTACAAGCAGCTCTTTTCGGAAATTACTTGAAATGTTTTTCCCTTTTTTTACAGGGTATTTGGTTACTTTGTAGTGTACTCTCACTGTTTAAATCGCTCAAAGTTATTTGATCCTGAAAATATACAATGATCAAATTCAATTTATCAGTAAGAAACACTTATGCTCACACAAGATTAGGGGTGGATATAATCTTGCAATCTTTTTTTGATGATCCAAGCGCTATCCTACATAGCAGCTAGCATTGACTTTCAGTGCAAGGTATTCTGGAAACTGAAAACAATAAATTTTGGTTCTCAAAGCCCCATAAGTTCCCCAAACATACTATATAAGTTGTCAAACCTCAACTAAAAACTGTTAAGAATATTATTTTTCACTCTGTAAATTGTTTAAAATACTCATTTTCACTTTGTACTGAAACTAGTCCAGTTCACTTCACTAGAAAGAGTGAAGATGGTGGTAGGTACACTTTTTTTGTGGGACCTTGGCTAGCAAGCACAATGCAGAGGACTTTGACTCAATTACAGAGTTCCAACATAATTACGCCACGGCCCCCTCTGCTTTTTGAACAAGCACTTCGAGCCAACCGTGATCCCAGATGATTATTTCAGCCGGGAAGCCTAGTTCACCCTTCGCAACTCAAGCCCAGTAGCAAAATTTAACTTAGATACCAAAATCACTCATTAGTTTGACTCTCAGTGTATGGCAAGGATGTTGTGAAAAGTAAATTACTGAGTTTGTTCTGATGTCATGCAATTGCTACACATTCACACTGTTGGTTTTCACCTAGTTGACATTCACACTGTTGGTTTTCAGGTACAATCTAGTTGACAGGAACCACCGAATCATCTCCGGGGATCTCAAATCTGAACTTCATAAACCACGCAGAGATGATAGCAATAGTTTCGAATTCTTCATGAATCGCATTATTCAGAAGTTTAGGTACCGTGTCAGTTTATCCAGAATGCTCGTCACAAAACGCTGGCTTTCTTTCTCATGGTCTAATTTATTTCTGAATTTGGTCGTTAAGATTTTGCTTTCCGTTAAACTGAAAAGCAAATGGACATTTAGCAGAAAGCTTGGACTCCGAACATTTTTATTCATCACGTCATCGACCATGACAATGCAGCTACAATTTGAGCATCCCTCCTCCCAGCTACAATATGGCAACAACTGTGAGTCAGGAGATACGGTTGCACATTTGTTCCTGCTCGAGTACAGATGCCTCCGCAATTGCCAGCACCAAGTTCACGAACCTGGAGCCGCAGCTGCTGTTGCATTCCACTCAAGAATACCGACTTGTCGCTGCCAGTATTTTGATGCCTGCCGAACCATGCCGTCCATACCACAATGGTAATGGTAATGACATGCGTGTTACGAACTTCGAGTTCACATCTGTGGAAACTCAATGCCTTTTAATGACAATCGACTGATTCTTCCTTTGTTCCTTCACGGTCTCGTCCGGAAAATCTCGAATTTTATTCAGCTTCCACTCTTAGAGATGAAAAACGAAATCACGAAGCAGATTGAACCAGTCCAAGAACAGTAGATCAAGAGTTTGCAAAATCAGGTGAACCACAACTTCTCAGTGGACTGTTTCCTGTTCATTGAAAATGGCCATCGGACTCTTCGATTTCATTTGAGCTGAGAGCTTTGTAACCTTGTCGTCGCCCGCATACCGAAGTATGTACGGGTTCGATACGATGAATATATGCCCGCTGGATATCCTCCAGGTTCAGTCTCTATAGGGTCAGTTTAAGCATGAACTCGTTCAATGTTCTGAGTGACGCCTTTCTACCAGTACAGTTCATGCTGCAGGAAATACACCTTGAGATCTTTTCATCTCGAGGAGAGTCTACTAATATCAAGGTGGCAACGCAACTCGGCTGCGAGACAGTCTCGTGTCACGAATGTGGAAGTTTCATCCTTATTAACCACCGAATCGGCTGATTCTCAACGTGACTTGGTAAGCTTTTGGGCAGCAAAGCCAGCCACAAGGATATTGACAGAAACAGGGATGAGATCTGAAATTTTGTTTTCTTTTATTTGCCATATCTGGAACAAACTCTCTGCACTCTACGACAGACTTCTTTGCCTGAGGTTATCGCGCTTCGATTCCATCTCTTTCCAGCACGTCGGGATAAACCTGTAGGAAGGAGGATGATCAAGCGTAGGCAACGCAGGAAACTGGTTACCGAGCAGCCCTGGTCTGATAGCTGCAAGGAAAGTGCGATGAATTACGCACCGTAATGAGGCCTCAGCTGCCCAGCAAAAAGGCATTCAACTCATTCCAACAGGAAACTCGATACAAGACACCGTCCATCTTCGGCCAGAAGCTCCTCGAGTTCTCACCGTCACCATGATTCGATTTTTGTTCCCTCTCCAGGAGACCAGTGTACAAAGGGAGCATTTTAATTCCAAATGCTGCGGCCATCCTTTCGAGGCTCGAGCTCTCACCTATGACAATCCCCACGTCTGCCCGCAGCAAACAGAGGAGATCCGTCACACTGTCTCCGACGTAAATGAGAAGAGAGTCTCGATTCTGGTTAGCGTTTTGCTCAGCTTGACTCAGAATCTTCTCCAGTACCTTTTCCTTGTCCACAGCCGATTCTATCCTCCTGTCGATGTTACCATCGCTGACATGCAGGTCATCAAACTGCAGCTCGTTACAATGGATGTTTGCAAACTCCAGAGCGTTACTGGATAAAGTGCCTTCGATGAATGATCGGCTCCAGCAGACAGACAGAATGTGGAACTCCAAATTCTGCCGCAGACTCCTGCCCTCCAGGGCCACCCTTGTCAATAGGTGTCTACACCCCTCACGCATGGCTACTCTGCTGCCTGCTTGTTTCACTGCTTCCCTGCTCAGGCCTGCCAGAAAGTCCGACCCGACAACCCTGGCATTGGCTTCGCGCTCGAAGTCCGACAACTCATGCAAAACCTGACGAAGGCCTTGCAGATTGAACTCCTTCGACGGTTGCTGAGGAGGAGGCAGCAGGAGACCCAACAGCTCCTTGTGTTCCAGCGAGTATTGGTCTCCCAGAGCTTGCCACTTAGCCTCCAGGTGCGGCACCTCTGCTTTGTCACCAGCAGATAACACTGATCGCGCCAGCACTGGGCAGGAATCCTCAACTGTGCAGGTTAGATCGAAGTCAGATACAAGGACAAAGTAAGTGTTGGCAGCTCTGGCCGATCTGATCAGTGGCACAATCGACTTGCTGGAAACAGGTTGTGCAGCAAAGAAATCGACTTCCAGCTCCATGGCCCGGGCATATAGGCTTCTCATATTCTTCCGATCCGTCTCTCCGGAAAAGGGCGAGGCCAAACTTTGCAGTAGCTCCTCACTTTCTCGACTGGCATTTTCGAAATCAGCAGATGCGTAGGTTTCAACCCACTTTGCATATGGGTTCGAGCCAAGCCCAGAGGAGGATGCCCTCATTATTTCTTGTCCCAAAAAAGCATACAAACGCATGCAAGGAGTCAAGGCCCCGATTGTGTACGCTGCCAGCTTTCTTTTCCTCTTCGACTCGCTCTCGCTGCCCTCCAGTCCATCATCGCCTCCTCCTCGAGGACCCTCTGGAACCTTAAATTCTCCCTTAGCGACAGCGAGCAGAAAATTCGTGTAATCTGCAGTAGCAGCATTCGGCAAAACTGAATCTGGTAACTCCAGTCCGAAACTCTGCAATGCGGAGATATGGACTTGATCGAGCTCTTCCTGGACATGGCGCTGGAGTCGTCCAAGGACATCTTTGGCTTCTGGCTGGTCCGTGTTGTCGATTGCCAAGCCGTAAGCCTCCGCGAAAGCTGCTAGATAATAAACATCTTGAGCGATGTAGTTCCCGAATGACTCCAGAGGCAATGAGCCCGCGGCCAAGGAGACAACAAACGGATGGTAGAGCGCACAGTAAGCTTCCTTTTGACTCATCTCCCACAACCCTTTCGCGAGCTCAGAAGGTACAGCACTGGAGGCCTCCATTGCGCTATTGAAGGAGTGAGAACCTCGCCCACCAGACGCCTGCAATCGTCGAATGCTTTCACGCACATTCAGCAATCCTTGAGCCGCGAATCCAGCCGAGTGCGCCTTCGGCGATGCCTTGGAGGCCTGGCAAAATTTAGGGCGGACACTCGAGCTAGAATTCTGCAGCTGAGACTCCACATCCCGACACCGGTCCGAGAGTCTCTGGCTCATCCATCGGGGAGTCCTGAGGAGCAAGCTTTGGACTCTGAACATGGAGGGGAGCAGATCAAACTGCACGACAAACTGCAAGCCAATCGCTGCACGGATGACAGGATTCACAATCTCAGGCCACTCGCTCTCCGACACAAGGGCGCATTGGGCTTCTGCACAACTCACCCACCTTCTCCATCTTATTCATGGGCTCGGAGCACGGCCTCGGCTTCGGCTTCGCTTCATCGGTCCGGCCAAATTCGTGTTCGATTCGACCCAAACCAACTCCCGATTTTCCTCGAGTCATGCTTTTCATCTGAGCCTGTAACCACCGAGCTCGTCGGGCGATCCTCCTGACTCCTGTGACCGACTAACCATCTCGACGTGCTCGGGCATCAGAAGCGCAATTACAAGCTTTGGCAGACTGCCGAGCGATGGAGAGATCTGGACCTTGCCAATTCCGATTCATGATCAGCAAGTTCCTCCGTATGATGCTTCTCTCGTGGACTCATAGCCAAGTCCAAAGTGCCGATGCCGTGGAGGCACTCTTCTTCCCCGATCTCGTCCACAATCGAGCCAAATTCGTTACCTTAGAAGCATGTTCAAGCTAAATCCAATTCCGGTTCAAGCATATTCCGTGGATCAAATCAAACTGTGCTTTGGTGTGTGTCAGAATTGTCGAACTTACTCGAGGCTTTGGGACTGGAAAGGAATGAATGAAATTATATGATGCGTGGGTTCAAACTTGCTATATAATAATTGAATCATGAACTGAATGATTCGTGTATAACGAATGTGTCTTATTGATATAGTTTTGCTCTCGAAATGGCGAGTGATGTAGAGACATTTGTAAAAATGGAAAATTAAATCAAACCAGACCTACGTTGGCGGAGTTTGTGGCCGGATTAGACCCAGTGGTTGATAAAAGGGTTTGCTTTACCGTCCTTAACAAAAAGAATGATTTTCGCCAAACTCAAAAAGTGATATTCTTAATGTTAAAAGTGGCATTTTTCGAGCAGAAATTGTGATTATTTTGTTAAGATTTGAGATAAACAAGTCGCAAACGCTTTATTCCAAGTCAAAGCTTCGTTGGTTGCCGAGTAGGGCGCGATAGACTCCATTCTCTTCATGTTTTGCCAAATATTCAGCAAATTTGTACTGCTCAGAAGATCGGAAGTCTTGTCCATAGGTGTTAAATGCCTGGGCAATCTGGGACTGTGGTGCCATGCGTGAATTCACCTCCTCCATTGACTCTTCGAGCCAGATAATGACATCTCTGCGGTCGACTTTGTACTTCCCGCCTGTGCTGGATCTGAACGCATCTTCCAGGCCACATATCGTTTCTTGAAAGCTTGTTCTTGTATAGTGAAGAAGTTTGGCATCAATTTCTTACTGTGATTTATTTCAATTATACTGACAGCACTTAGACCTTATGTGTAAAAATTATACTGTACAAAGAATAAATCAGAAAAACAGATTCCTATCAAATGTAACTGATTAGTTGGATTTGACATCGAAATTTGACTATATTTCTTCCCATGGAGTTATTTTTGTGACCAATTTGAAATAAGACCTGATATTCTGTATCACTATTGTCTATAGTTGTTATACAGCAATATAAGTACTATGCTCATTGATTATGTAACATTATTCGAGAAAGATAACACAAAGTAGTGAATGAATGACTGGACATTGCTTTATTTAGTTTGACATGAAACCAAACTTTTAAATACTGCATATCTGGATTAGCAGGTATCCGTTATGATTATCATGTGGCAAGAACAGTATATATTGAAGTGATGTTTTCTTGAACATGCTAGAATTATTTGTTCTTAATTTGTGATACTGTTTGGTATATCGTATTATTATGAACTCAGATACAATTGACATGAAAAATTTAAATGAAATACGATGTTCGGCTAAACCATTTCATGATACAATTTAAGATTTTTCTCGATTCCAGTCATTGATTTGGACCAGATTCTGGAATTTGTGTATAAAGTAGATTGAGTTCACATCTTCGCTCAACATGTTCATCTCAATGAGAATATCACGGAACTTGTGCTTATCTTTCCGTCTATAAGTAAATCGAATAGCTTAAAGAAAGAACTTGCAGATGGTGCAGCAGTGACTGCGTAGCGCGTGAAACCCCAACAATAACCACAAATACTGAACCGTTCTCTAAGTTTCATGCCATACCAGATGAGTTTAGTAAGCTCGAATAGTAATAATAGTAATAAGTAATACTTCTTGGACAAAACACACATCACAAGCAGTACTGTTGAGTAGACACCTTGGTCACAAGGAGTCCGCAACTACGATTAGAAACTGAGTTTCTCATAGTGATGTCAATAATCTAGTCATCAGAGCCCAACGTTGGGTGCCCATGCCCATGGGTTTTGGGTGGGTTTTGGGTGACATTATTTTTCCTTGGGTGGGCACAAGTCATGCTATGGGCAGTGTTTGTCAAGATCCAACCAAGAATTCGTGTAACCGGTTAATACACACAATTGGCGTAATTTGAGTAGCATGGGTGGGCTAAGGTCGCTGCTGATGGTTATGATCTGGTCTGGGTGCAGATTTGACGTAAAATGTTGGCCTCTGTTAGTCATCGAAGGGTCACGGCATCAAGGATTGTAGTACAAGGGCTGAACTCAAGCATACCAGTGAAACTTACTCATAAGAGGGAACAAGATTTGATCGCAGCATGAAAAACATGTCAGTCCGAGCTACCGCTGCAAACTAGGGCCACGGGAATTTGCCGCAAAGGTGTTCCAGAATCTGCTGTAAATTGTGGGACTTTCGCCTTCAACGCCTTTGCCTGATACATTAGTGCATGGTGGCTTCTCGACGCTTGCAACATCCATCGAGTTAGCAGGCCTAAGGCAGTAGACTCTAAACCTTAACATCACCCGTCGTCACTGACAGTATTGAGGTGATAAGATACTGCATCGTCCCGTCTTGAAGTACCTCCAGAACAGATTGTTGACACCAAATGGCTGAGACTTGAAAAGGATTGAGTGGCATGAGAGAATCCCAGCTTCTGTGAAGGCTGAGATCTCATCCTTTCCTCATAAGTTTTCCACCAACGGAAATTTCAACCAAAAGGTCATATAAAAGGATATGGCTGTAACAGCAAAAAGCGAGATGTATATATATATATATCCTGCACTCCAGAAAGGGACAGAGCTTATTTTCCGAAACGAAAACACGCGAACTTTCTCCAACAGGAACCTGAAACTGCTCCCAACAAACACAAAGAAAGTGTGAACACAAACCAATGAGCCACTGATCCCCGATTCGGGCTTTCTTTGGCCCAGATGCACTGATCCTTTTATTCATTGTACTGGTGCACAGAAATTCGGAGACTTGAGCATAAAGTGATGAAATTCACGTGCATTACTGGAGCGGGTGTTATGAAACCATATCCGTTCCAGTGGCAAGAGACCTGAGACATATGTTCTTGCATAGACACGGAACTGAGCTTCATAGGTAGATGCGTCTGGGATAGAAAAGAATAATCTCCACACATAACTAGGAATGTACAAACGCAATTGTTTTCGAGCCGCACGGCAGCTCCAGAGATATCATTCGGGAGATTCCCATCGTATCAGGCCCAGGCTGACGAGTTCAAACTGATTCTATGAAGAACCTTCCTGCATGGACAATCGTTCAACTTTTTACAGAACTCTCGGGTTCAGTGATTCGAGCTGGAAAATTGAACCCAAACGTCTACGTATCTGCCAGAATCCTTCAGTCGATTACATTGATGCTCCATTTACACAAACATATACACAAAGACTGCTCTCTGAGCGCTGAAAAATGAAATTCCACGTCGTAGGTGATCACGCAAACGTAGGTTTCAAAACCCCCCAAATCCGTCGATGCTTACTAAAGAGCATAAAATGAGGCGGTCTAGGCCTTCTCAATCTTCGCGATCCCTGTCTCAATCATCCGAATTTCGTCCTTGATCGATCGTTTCTTCATGTCCACGAGCTTGCTTCTCTTTTGCTTTCGAAGGGCCGTCAGTTCATCTTTCAAAATCGAAACTCGCTGATCCAACTCCTCACGAGGAGATAAGGACTTGGGCTTGGGAGCAGGAGGATCGGCGTCGAGCGCAGGGGAAGCGGCCGTGGCAGCTGCAGGGACGACGGGTGGATTCGTAGGTGGGGAAGGAAGAGGAGCGGGATGCGTAGCGGGAGGAGAAGTCACCAGCTGCGGATATGCCCAGACCCCGACTCCCGCGGCAGCTCCGGCGCCCACCAGCAACAACAACAGGCCACCGCCGCGAGACTTTTTCGCAGCAGCAGCAGCAACGGGGGCAGCTTCTCCGGCTGGGGCACTTGCATTCGTGGACACAGTGGTCGAGAGAGAGCGCAGCTGCTGTGTGCAATTTCGCCCGGCGCCGACCGACGACGACACACACGACCGCCGGATCAACGACAGCGGGACCACCATCTTCACCGCGATGATGATGATGACGACGACGAAGAGATATTCCCCGCTGCTGCTCGTGCCTCGTCCGCCCAGAAACCCTGTTTTCCTCCTTCCTACGCAACCAAATCGAGACCCAAATCAAACCAACATCGATCACCAGATCGAAGTCGGAGACTGTCGACCAGTCGACCAATCAATCCCGTCGCCACTCGCGCCACTGGTGCTACTGCTTCTGATCACTCTGCTCACGGCACGAGACTTTTCTTGCTCGTCTTAAGACCATGATCGATCCGCCCCCGCGAGCCCTCGAGTTTCTCGAGCTTGGCCTGCTCTGCTCAACGTCTGCCTCCGTCCCCTCCCCTCCCTCGACTCCTGAAGAGCAGCAGAGTTGGTGGAAAGAACCCTCCCTCGTCCCCCTCTCTCTCCCTCCCTGGGTCAATACGGAGTATTGAGAATACCAAACTCACAACGTCTCCAAAACCCAACGCTGTTAGCAAAACAGGGTCGAGTAGACTTTCGCCGCAATTCATAGACAAATATCAGCATGAAACTTAATCCTACTTCTATACTTTTCTACAGTTTCGTCGTCCTATTTGGTGTATTCACACCAATAAAACCCCCCAACAATTCTAAAACCAAGCGCTATAATATCTAGATCGAGTGATTTTTTATCTGCAATTCTTTTAAGTGCCATGTTGCACAAGAAGAGGATGTTCACATGGAACTTAAATTCATCTTCTACCCTATACACTATGGACATGTCTAACGCCAAATTGAAGATCTCAGGCTAGTTTGTATCTTTTCTTGGTAGATATAATATTATGATATAGTTTTATTTCCTAAAATGGGATTCCGATATTCCAATTGAAATCTACAGATTTGTACCTTTTATTGAGAAAAAGTATTCGTCAATCTAATATTTTGACTTTCGTAAATGATACCTGTTTTGAAACCAAAGGTTACATGTTAACTTTGTTCAAAATAAATTTTTTTGTGATTTTGAAGTAAAATAAAACTGAAGTAGCTGATCATTATTTTTTCATTTCAAATATGGAAAAATTCCTAGAAATTTTTATATGATATATTTCTAAGAAAAAATTAATAATTGATCTTACATTCTAGAGTTTTACTCATCTTGCTTCCCCATTTTGAGCAAGATTGTGATAGATTTGTATGTTGTGAAAGTGTGATAAAAGTATCAAAAATTCTAATAGATTTGGAACTTTTGCATCATGTTTTTAGAAAAAAAATTTCAAAATGTGTGATAAATTGATATTTGATTTTGATTATTTTGATCTTTTGTGTTAAATTTAACATTTTGATACCTATTATATTATATCTAAATCTATTTTTATTTGATTAAATTTATTATCAATCTTTTTGCATTAGATTTTACATATTGGTTTATTAAACAACATAATGTTAATAATGCATTCATTTTAATCTTGGTTTAATACATTAATGTTGAGGTGAACTCCCGTTAAGAAGTAACCTCATGTGTATTTATAGTTCAGATTGGTCGCCTATGTTGGGTATATATATATATATATATCATGATGCCTTTGTGTTGCTGTCATTATTGTGTTTTCACCTGAGTAGTCTAGTATCTCGCGTGTATTCCTTCGTGGACGTAGCTCTTGAGGTTGAACAACGTTATGGGTTTGTCTTTTGTGTCGTTGGTTTGATCACTGTGATCTTGAGTTTTACCATAACATGTGGTATTAGAACGGGTTTTTGAATTGAAGTTTATGACAAGTCTCGTCAATATTGAAGTCTAACAGTTCATAGGTTTTACTCCAAGAGAGCTGACAAATTTTATTTTTCTTTCTCAACTTGATATATCTTAAGTTCGAGAGTAGTACGACTACTAAAGTTTTTCCAAAGCTGGAGGTAAAGTTTTCAATAGAACTACAAGTTCATACTTTGAAGTTTGACATTTCTTTGAAAGTTTGTAACAGATTTATGATAGCTTTCGGATGAAAGTTTTACTTACATTTTTTTATGATATGATTTTTTTTCGTGTCGTGCGAATATGTATTGTCATACACTATACATCGTTGACATACCTATTGCATACCACACCACGTATCACACTCATGGATAAATCGTTCAGCTCAATGGTGCCCATTGCACCAGAGTATCGTCGTGGATTCTTCATGGCCCCGTCCATGTCTCAAACCAACGGGGTTGTGACGGTGGACGGTATCAACTCGGAAGATTCAAGATCCGCAACACTCTTATCTTTCGCATCAACAGCTGGAATAGGTAAAGTTGACCTATACCTCAATCCACTTTGTGTAATTCCATCTCGGTCCTGGATTGATCACCAAACTCCTCCGTGACGATCAAATCTCCAACAAGCATCACTACCAAATTTTCACCAAGTAGTCAAATTTGACGTTGTGCCCACACTAATCTAGTCTAGCCCTACTAGCTATGGGGTATGGGCAACCTAACCTGATATCACCACAAGAAGACTTTCACGGTCTACTACTCATCACTCCAGTCTCATTATTAAAGAAACAAAGACCGGTGATCAAGTCCAGCCTCACTATCGACAACACGTTGGAGTAAAACTACTCTATAAACCAGCGTCACTCCTACGTGAACGCGCATTAAGAAGCAAGACTGGAGAGAATCCAACACAAGCAAGCAACTAGCAACGACTCTCCAATCTAAATAAAACACAACACAAAACGAGACAACACACGGGACATTGCATCGCATCACGATTCCGATTTGATATTCATCGTACCCTATCACCTTACGTCTCTATCACTTATAATGTCATCTCTTCCACCAAGTTGCAACCAGAAATGTTTGTAAATTTTCTTTTTCTTTTTTCTTTATTTTTTTTATTCTTTTTTGGCTGGGGTCACACTCCACTTCAACACATACACTAAACATTGAAAGCTCAATATATTTTTGATCACGTCATATATATATATATATATACATACAATGCTTTCAAAACCTCAAGCTTATAATGTATAAAGTCAGATGCAAACTATCGATCCTTTCAGAACCAATTTTTGAAATCCTAAACGTATTCGCTATCAATCTTTGCCAAGACAATCGAGAAACTTCTCAAGTCCAAAAATTTCTTTCAAAAGATAATCTTGAACAAACTAAATATTTCTCAAATGATTCGCGACATCTTTGGAAAGGTCTAGTAGCTCATCGTCACATATTCTATAATGTGAACCAGATTCTTCCATTAGCTTTTCTACTCCCAATTCCTCGTCTCAATCTAATCCAGAATTTTTGTATTCTAACATAACATTGTTCATTTAATTCCCTTGTACTTAGGGCTACAAAGTCAAATCCTGCTCTAAATGCTTAGGTTCTTCGCTTATGAAAACCTCCACTGTCTAGATCTCTTGTACCTCAATGTCGCCCACCTTATCTCCAAACGACATTTTTCTCTTCACAATTCAAAACTCCACTGTGTACAAAGATATTTGTAAACTAAATCATTGAAGTGAAAACTAAAAGCGGTTTAAGTAAAAAACTATGAGATATTTTTAAAGAATTGTTTATTGAAAAAGAACAAGTTCACTCACTAACTAGTGAAATCAAAACTTCAATAACTCTTAAGGAGCACAAGTAAGTAAACTTACTATTGTAAGCTAACATTGCTATATTTTACCACTCTAAAATTGATACAATAAACTTAAAGGAATTTTAATAACTTTGTAAAGCCAACCTCTCAAAAGTCTTCACCTCTGCAAACTTCATCTGACTTTACTCTCCTCTTTTTTTTTCTTCTTCTCCAATGAACCGAGCAGAAGTTTTATCAATTCTTCCACTCTACTCTACGAATGAAATCACCTAATTGCAAATATTCCCTCTTCTTTTACCTTGTATTTTCTCACATTTCCACAACTGAGACAATGCACAGTTTAGAAGTCTTGCTATTGCAAACTTTAACTATAAAAATGATTTGATAATACTGAAGGTACCCATTAACTAAAGCTATTCACTATCTACGACTAACTAGACAGTTGTGCTTGACAGAGTAATACAAGTCATTATCGGAGTGAGATAAGATACAAAAACTTGCAAAAACTTAATGTTTCAGCTTCGCAAAAGTAAGAATGCTGGAACATGACAAGATATCATAGCAAACGAGCATCGCCTAGACAAGCATGGGCCAGACATCAAAACGCCATGATTGATCACTGGCTGTCATACGACCCCGTTTCTATATTAGTACTCCGTTTCTATATTATATTTTCGCTGATGCTTGTCATATATATGACTTTCCACATCCATCCATGCTGAAAATGTCTTTGGCGGGAATTAGCATCTCTCTAATCGAAGCCAACCTGATTGCAAGAACTTACGTGCTTGAAAATTTGACTTGATCATATGATATACCAACATTGAAAGCTGTAGATTATGGTAATGTACTCATAAGTGATTAATTTTGATACTGTAATCCATTGAACCTCGGATTTTGTTCATTTTCGGTTGTGAATATCGTACAGAAAAGGCCATGGAATGATTGGGGCCATGGATGACTGTAACAAGAGAGAAAAAACAGGAAAGGTTTTATTCGTATTCAGCAACCAGCTTCGTCCGAAGCATTCGATCTCATGGTTGTGGTTGTGGATCAGATCCGAGAGAGCAGAGCCCGATCATGGTTTACGATGCTTTCGGGCTCAGACGGATAATGTTGGCGGAAGAGAGAAGGTGCTGCGCATGATGGAGTCAGTTTAGTGAGTCAGGCAGCTCGCGGCGATTGCTGTAATTGCTGGCGATTTGGTGCATCTCTCGTTTCGTTTGGTGTCGTTGGTACAGTCGCTCGAGGCGTAGACGACAATGGCGATGGTGGGGACGAGAATTGCGGTGGCCAGAACCGTCAGCAGCATCGTCGCGCCGTTGCGAGGAGTGATTCCCTGTTCTGCTTCTCCTTCCGCTTCATGCTCGACGACGACGTCGTCTTCTTCTTCTTCCCTTTCTCGGTTCGCTGCATCGCCCTTTGGGAGCTTGCATTTGCGCCATTCCTCTGTCACTTCGTGCACCTCCTCTCCCGCGGCTGTTCAAGCTAGCGAGTCGACATCTCCTCCTCCTCCTCCTCCCGCGGCGCCCGCAGTAACGCAAGCCGAGCTCGACGCGTTGGACATTCGGGTGGGCAAGGTCATCAGAGCATGGAAACATCCCGAAGCAGATTCTCTCTACGTGGAAGAAGTGGATCTCGCTGAAGCTGAGGGACCTCGGACCATCTGCAGCGGCCTCGTCAAGTACTTGACTCTCGAAGAATTAGAGGTTGGTCTCTTCGATAGGAAGCTCATGTTGTCACGAAGTCCAGTGTCCGAGTTTTGGATGATGATCCGGTGTCAAAATCTCGAAGCATGACGACTTACCGAGAGATTGCAGGGCAGGAATGTCGTGGTCCTCGCAAATTTGAAACCTCGTAACATGCGTGGTGTCAAGTCCAACGGAATGCTGCTCGCCGCGTCGAACGCCGAGCACACGACGGTGCAGTTGCTGTGCCCGCCAGAAGGAGCAGCACCTGGAGAACGAGTTTGGTTCGGCGCAGAAGCTGACCAATCTGAGCAAGCAGCTGCTGCTACACCCAATCAGGTTGGCCACTGTGTTCTGTCGTCAAATTCGTCCTGTCCCAGCAAGTTTGTCTTCGCCCTCTAGCTTCTGACTCAAAGAATAATTAGCTCATGGAACCCATCTCTCGATGTCTATTTGTTGGAAACTCGGTGAATTCTTCTTAATCTTTTAATCTCCAACCAGCTTTCTGCCTGATTTCATGACCTACTCGTTCGTTTTTTATCTAGCTTCCTGCACAGGTTCAGAGGTACGAGCCATGAGCACGAAATAATCTCCGCATTGTGACCTGATTTGATGAATGCTACTTTGATTGACATTCGATTCTTTTCTCAAGTCTTAATTTGCTCACATCATCTTCCCTTGCACATGGGAGCTTATAACGTTCACGGTATTTTCTGGAATGACACCTAATATTCAAAGAATGGCAATCCACCTACGCTTGTGAATGTGCAACATGTCTAGATTGGTTGTCTGTCCCATAGGAAATGTGGATGTCAGGTGCTTAAACATTGGATTTATGTATGACTAGCAGCTATGCATTTTCTGTCATACTGATTCAGCTGCATGCCGGCTGGATCATTCACTGCTGTGCCTCCTGTTCCATCTGTTTTCCAGCCTCACCAGCTTAGACATATCTGCTTCACCTGCTTAGTAGGCAGCAGACTTCACAGCTTTTCCTAGTGCTTCATCGTCCTGTTTGTTCTGCTTCACCCATTGCAACTAAATTCTCATAAACTGGATCGGACGTGTTAGATTTTTCTAATCATACAGAAGATTCCTTACAGTGCTGATTATAGTTTGTGGGTAGCAGGAGCAGATTTGATTCATGCTTACTTTCTCCGTTGCTTATGGCCTATGGACGTCTTTTGCTCTGTTTGTTAGTTTGCTGTCCGCTGCATGTCTTACGCTTCGTCTTTGTGGACACAACTGCTGGTTTATCTAATCACTAGACCAAGCTTTAATCGGACCAGATTCCATTGGAATGTCTTCATTCCACGTTGGTTACAGTTCCTCGCTCTACGTGCAATACTCCTGATTTGTTTTTGCAATCTGCAGTTCTTTTTAGGGCTTCAATTCATTAGCACACGAGGTGATTTCAGTCATATTTTCTTGCCGCTCGTATTGAGTACTGATACCATATACGTGGTTGAATTTGAGCTGTTATACTTCACATGGTATCTTCGTTTTCCATTTGATTTCTTGTTTATGTTTATTACAAGATAGCTTTTTTCCAATTACAGTTCATTGTCAATAACAAGAGTATGCCGTTGTCTGTCTTCTGTTTTCTTGTCTAGAATAAGCTGTTCCTTTCGTCACTTGTTCCAGGCTTCCTGCATTCTTATCTCTTTGTCCTTCTCGTAACATTATGTGTTCTTCTTGCGCCACATCTACCATTCGTAATCTAAGCGTCCATCGTCTATGCTGAAGTATTTGTTGGTAGTTGGCGGTCTGTCCCTGTTAACCCCTTATTCTCCGGAAGGTTCAGACAATCGTGTCAGTGTACCTTATATTATGTATGATGTAAATCTTTCCATATCCTTTGATATAGTCGTTCAGGATTTCGACTTTTGCCTCGGTCTGGTAAAAATTACACTGCAATTTAATGGTCAACTTTATTTATATTCTTCTAACTAATATTTTTTTGAGTCCGTAACTAGCTTCCTTTTACTTGCTTATCTTCCTTCGTGCTCCTTTCACAGAGTGGGAAGACGTGTTTTGATTACGTAGCCTGAATTTTAGGTCATAGACATAATGCGGAAGTAAATAGCAGTTACAAGTCTGGGTACTCACTCAAGATATATGATGGAAGTACCTTTTCTGAAGTTTTCCTGCTATTTCTGCACGGCTAGGCTAACGTGAATGTCTTTCTTGTCACAGATTGCGAAGAAAAAAATCTGGGAGAGCGTCCAGCCTCTCCTGAGAACCACAGAGGAATGTGTAGCCGTATGTCAGTCTAAGCCGATGCGCACATCTGCAGGTGTTGTGAAGTGCCAGTCACTACAAGGGGCAAACATAGCTTGAACCCCGCACCCACGCACAGTACTCAATGTTGGCCAGGTATCCAGTCAATTTGCAACGTAGAAAACAACCATGAAGCTTCTGATTACGGTAGATCATATGGGATGAAGGAATCTTTTCTTCCTCTAGCCCAGGACTGGGTTTGTTGTCAGAGGTGAAGGTTTTAGTAAACAAAGATCTCTTAGCTGCAATAGCTGAAAACTGCACCCTGCTGCCAAATTGTCACATCTTTGCAAAGAGTCTCTTCGGTTACCAATTCTTACAATGCTTAATGGCTTGAAGAGGACGTGTGACACGGGAAGAATTGAGGAAATTATGGTTATTGCCCTAATCGTCCTATCCCAAGTATTCGAAACATTATTTATGACTATCATGTGCTGTGACAATAGTATGTCCAACGACAGCAAGCTGAAATTGGAGCACACTTCTCACGAGTCTACGTGTGGAAGCAGATTCGTGAAGACATCCAAAAGTGGCTCGTCCAATGAGGAGCTCGAATTACAGTTCATGAACCGCTTGAAGTCAACCTTCTCTGTAGTGATGGGATTCGACACGAAGGAGCTTGAGTCCACAAGCTAGTCTTGAGAAAGGTTTTACTGTAGGAAATACATAGTAAAGTGGCGGTTCATGCTTCCTAAGTTTTTGTTTTTGAAGATTGTATCAAACAGTACGCCGAGGTGTTAAAATGCAAACCACACAACAACGTACAATCGTCGTTTTCGTGAAGTACTGTACATGGAACATGCGGGAACTTTGGGCATCTATCCCGCTCGATCAGAACTACAAATCACGCGAGTAGGAGTGAAAATGTACTTTTTTCTTCCGCCAAAGCCCAATTTCAATTAGGCCTTTTATATCACTCTTATATTTATACATCCGACCTATTACCAGTTATGCCAAAACAGTAAAACTTCATCTGCGGCCGCAGGTTTTATAAACTCCGACCTAATAATGACCAGCCTGAAGGAAATCCAGTATTTAATAATATACAATAGAATGTCAAACTGACGAAAGTATTGTTAACAGATGCCACAAGGTACTCAAGAAGGATGACCATGGATCCCAAGGCTCCACGCAATTCGGTATCTACTTGAACTGTACTCGCCGGTGAGATCACGCGCAAATAGATTTTGAAGTTCCGCGCATTTGATCAACCCTTCCTTACTATAGCCCCTTTTATGGCTCAAAATTCTCTGTGTCTACTACAGATCTCTTTTTTGACTCCATTCAGGTTCTTATTTCCTGATGGTGTCATCATTCCAGATCCCATACCATAATGCTCATTGACAAAAACAGTTCAAATAGTTGTGGCATTTGGTTGTATCGTATCGTTTAGATTCGGCATACGAAGATGTACGGGTACTCCCGGAATTTGCTGTTCCATGTATATACGGATCTTCACGCAGACCGTGGGAGTATTTGTATAACTTTGAAACTGCATAAAACACAGAACGGACTATCCTCTGGAGGTTCGCAACACTTCTGCATGGCAGATGCAAAATATATTGCAATGAAGAATGCGTGTTAAGATGATAACACGGAATCGCCCACATCATAACAGCATGACTCATGCGGGCGGTTCAGAAGCAAAGAGAAAAAACCTCAGAGCGAAGATCTGATCAATACCACAGGTTCGCTGATAACACGGAATCGCCCACATCATAACAGCATGACTCATGCGGGCGGTTCAGAAGCAAAGAGAAAAAACCTCAGAGCGAAGATCTGATCAATACCACAGGTTCGCTGATTTGTGACGTTTGCTTGTAACGGTTGCTGGAAAGTCGAGAGAGTTCACCCTTGAATCTTCCTTTGCCACATTCCCTTCATGTAATGGAATGTACAATACCCTGTCCACGGCGTCCTCGCCATGATTTTCACCACACTAACCAACAAGCCATATAGCTGTTGAAGGGTTCACGAAACCGCAATATCACAAGTTGTAACTGTTCGTGAAACATGTAAGTAGAATTGGGCCAAGGAACACTCACAAGTAGCAAACAGCTGCAGACGGTGTGTAGAAAACAAGACCTCCGACTATGTCGCGATCTCCACTGTCAGCTAATATATTAAAACCCTAAGAATTTAACCACAAGCTCAGTATTTTTTGGGTTCTTTCAATTATATTCGGGATACAAGCATCGATCAAATTCTACCCTGTAGTTTTTAATCGGTTCCAACGCCCACATAGTCAGCAGTCGAATGATATGTATTAGATATACCGCTTCTCAGCAAAACGGTTGCAAGTTTTACACTATCGTACTATCCTTTAACGGGTCTTCTACCGAGATCATTATGATGTATGCCTCAGTTATTCTTGCACTATATTCGACTTACTCAGTGCTCGTTTCTCGTCTTTCTACTCTCAGGAAAAGCAGACAAAATTTGGTAACTGCTGGACCAATCGATCAGTTGTCAAACATCAAAATCGAACAGAGAAAGTCCGATCTGCGCTTACAGATGGTTAACATCTGTAACGTGCGCATGACAAATGACAATAAGAAAAGACTGCACTAAACACCAAGATCCACACTTTTCACCTCAACAGCGGGTTCTTCTTGACGTAGATCAGATGATCTTCATTACCACATGAAGGGTGATGCACACGAGAACGTCATCATCCTGTTCTTGTCTAAGGAGAAACATAGGCATCTGACTTCGTCTAAACATGGGAAAGAATTTTCGGATGGCAAACTGGAGACAGATTTATCAAACTTACGTGGTTAGGAGTCATCCGTAATATTAAGGACCGTCTCAGACTGCAAAATATAGAGGGATAAAAGCTGGCACTGAGGTAACAAGCTGATAAGTGGCGGAAAACTCTCGACGAGTCCCGTACTGGCAGCATTCAGATTCCAAGAGGGGCAATTTCTTGAATCTGCGAATTTAGCATATTACGCGACAGTAAGGTAATTCCTAACAGCGAATTACGTGATCAAACAGGAATATTGTTTTACTAATTTCCTCCCTTCAGCAAATAGTTGCCGAAGTCAAGTTGTTGAATTCTCATTTGCAATCTTCCATTACAAATTCAAAGTCTTCGTTCCAGTAGTTCGGCATGGTGGAAACATTCCCGCCTCCGGGTTGTTGGATCCTCAAATAAATGCTTGAACTACACATTCTTAATCATGTCTCGTGAACACACTGGACTGTAAGTGTAAAAACTGACATCGATTTTGATCGAATAAAGTAGGACTATTGAAACCAACCGTACTAGAAAAGCTGACGTCCACAAGCCTCACTTACAACACTTCGCTTCGTCAATTTCAGCAACATACTAGATCCACACAGGCTGTTCAGCCATCTTCCGCACTGACTTAAAGACCGCAGTTCTCTACTTCCATCCAAACTTCTGTAAAAAGCTGGACAGAACAGTGCTTTCAAAACAAACCTGCCAAATAAAATATCACAGGTCCACATGCCAGCCAGAGTAGAAGTAAACTGAAAGAACATTTGAAGGCACCCCAATTTTGAATACACACACACCCATCAAGTTAAAGGCCGATTTGAATTTACAACCTTGCCTTGTATGTCCAGGACAGGCCTATGACGAGAAAAAAAATCCTGGTTAAAGAAGTGACAAAATTGTGTTGGACTCGTAGCTGAACAGTTCGCAAGTCATAAGCTAGGTCTCACTAACAGGTCCTTCAAGTACTACTCCAAAGTAGAAGGTCAAAGTCTGGAACACTAGCATCGGAGGATTCCAGGAGCGTTTCGCCAATTATCCTAAAATATCTATAAGCTTGGAGAATGCACTGGCAAATCAAGGACTAAGGTTCCACCCCAGTTCGTGTTTCTGCCTCCGCACCAGATGCAAGCTCGTTTGTCCTCATCTTTGGACGACTAAACGTCGTTAGAAAACATCTGCCAAAGGGTGAAGCTGCACCACAACCGTTGTAGAGAAGACAACTTGCGGCAGTTAACTGTGCACATACAAGGGCATTTGCCAGAAGGAATGAGAATAAGGTCCCGAGCAAGGCTTAGCTACACAGAAAAGTGCAACCAACACCGTAAAATCAGAGTGATGGGTTAATTCGGATGTTCGACAGAGGACGGCATTCTATGCGTAAAACCTTTGATGTGACCTTCCGCAGCCACACTTCAGCAGCAGCGGTAGACCAGACACTGTAATCCACTCCGGGTGCAAAATCGAGCTGGCAGTCGGTAGGATTTGAATAAACAAGAATTCGAAGGATGGCGATGTCGATGTAAAGCGGTATAATACAGTTTGAGAAAAAGGCTAAATAAGAGGTAGGACGTGGTTTGGAAGTACGGACATATGAAGAGAAACCGATGCCATACGGTGCGATATGCCCTGGGAGTAGGATGGTCAAGATATAAAATGTTGTAGGCAAAGCTCGGACGTGGATGGGCAACAAGATCATGCGGTTCATAGTCATGTCAGATGGAGATTATCTTGACGGGCGGGCATTTGCAGCAGAAGAAGGTACCTAGAGATAATAGTGGTACAAGGTCAATCTATCGTCCCACGGCTAGTATTGGTGATGTGTGTAAAATATAAGATTTTTCCACATGCATGTCAGATCTGTTTCAATGATTCAAAAACTGTAAAACATTACTCCGGATATTCGTTAAAAGAGCTTCTGTCGACTAACCGGGAGGCTGTGGAAGAGAATAAGATTATATCTACATCTTAAGGATGGTGAAACAGCGAAAGAAGGACGTCTATAAGGCGCAGAAAAAGGAGATTTTGAACTGTAAGGAGAAAAAATAGGGATCCAGCTTCGTCGGTGATCATGTCCTTTTCAAGGTCCTCGGCGAGATACAGCAATGGTATGATGTTTGCCTCAGAAATGGTATAAAATAAGATCGATGATATACTGTACGCTAAGAGCAGGAGAGGCATCTTAGCGAGCATATAACATCATTCTCACCCACACCATTCAGTATACCGGACCATCCATCCGTTTACTACCACAGGTTTGATCACTATGTATGCTGGATAATGGATGATACACAAGAGGGAAACCATCTTGGGAAGAAATAGGACAACCATGCTATATTGTTTGCACCCAAAGAGGCGAGAGTTAATGAAGTTGCACCTGAGGTTTTGACCACCAAGAAAGTTGCAGATTCTTCAGCCAATTCCCTAACCGCAAAGTCTTATCTAACATCCTGCATCAGAAGGTTTGACTTCTGCTTGAGGTGTGGCGCCAGCCAACCTACCTCCGCCTTGCATGGCCAGCAGGACAGAGAAACCCAGATCAGAGGTTTTAGCCAGTCCTGTCTCCGGCAAGGTTGTTGGAGTCCCAAAGCGCACAAATGCTGAAGTACCTCCAGCTACGTCTTTTGCGTTACTCATGCCAACTGGTTGTGTTTCAAACGAACTTCCTGCGTCCTTTGAAACTGAGGCTGGTGCAACAGAAGTACAAGATTGTATCTCATCTTCGACCTTCGTCTTAAGCAACGGTATCGCGAATTCCTCATTTGAGGAAGCTTCAGCTGCAGGGTGCTTACTAATTTGATTAGTTGTTCCCTGCGAAACAGGAAACCCAGATGTTACTAGAGTAGCACCACCTACCGAACCTTCCATAGATGATTGTACAGTCTTAGCACTTCCATCTTTTTCTCCTAGCAGAGGCCCATAGCCTGGCCCATCAAGGTCATCGATCGCAGATGTAGGAGTAGGTTTACCAGTTGCATTTGCCTCTGGTCCACCTGCAGTGTCATTGGTAGGATCTTCGGCAGACATTTGGGCAATACCATTCTGAACACTGTTGGCAAATGATTTTCCTTCAGTCAAGTTGGCTATTTCTCCAAGTGCAGATATTTCAACTACTGTGGCGTTGGTTGTTGATGCATCACCCGTCTCAACATTCTTTCCTTTTTCAGGCGAGACTGACTTACTGGAACCGGTACCGACTTTTGTTTGTGCCAAAGTTTCAGGGAAGCTGGAATCATTTTCTAGCTCTTTCAATTGTTCCTCTAACAATCTTCGGGCAGACTCCAAATCCCAGTTCGCATCAGCTGCGACATTGCTAGAAACCTGCACAGACATTGTGAACACTTTTAGGTGCTTCCATTCAAGCCCACCCTCAATTCCTCGATGGAAATTTAACAGTTGTCATTTCGTCCTGGGAATAAACTAAGAGAAACAACTTGCGCCTAGTTCTCATGCTTCTTCCCAGGACGTGTATCTCTTCTTCCCAGGACGTGTTCGTTTCATAGTGAAACTGTCAACCAAACTTGAACAAGGAAATTATACCACCTTCAAGATCCTCCCTGATCAAAAGCACCTTCAGTTGGAGCTACCAGCCAAACGTTAAATCACAAAACCAACAAAATTGACGAAAACATGTGATAGTCTCCTACGGGCACAATCGCCCCCTGTCGTCTTCTTTTGCTTTCGCAAGCAGATATGACTCATTCCCTGGTCATTTGAAGCTTCATTCTTTGTGGCAGCAATAGTGGACGGTCCTTACCCACAGGAGGTCCCTATACAACTATACTGTCTGTTGATAGTTGTCATAAGAGCATCGACGGAAGGCGACAGGCGACAGGTGAAGCACTTCTAAGCTTCTAAGTGAAATTGGCCGAAACAGATATGGTTAAGCACAGACTTCGAACTCAGAACATTTCAACTCCTGACTTCTCACAAGTGCTTCATTTTAACTTTCTAATAGGCATCAAACACAACATCAAACAGCAAGATTCTTGCATTCCGAGACGTGGTAAATCTCGTGCATCCCAGAAAGGAAAATTCATCGTGATCCAGTCTACAACAATCCAGGTCACAGTCCAGTGTACTACGAAGAATCTCATGAAAAGATCAAAGAAAAACAAACCTGGATTTTCGGTTCACCGTTTAGCTGCAAAGTTGGTGCATATTGTTCATGGGGTGCAAGCCAACCGCGACTAACGACAGTCTTCGGAGAAGGACTGCAAACAGTTGCATCCCAACCCAAAACATGACAAACAGCTCGTGCGAAGCCGCGATGTTCGGGCAGCTTTTTCGTCCTCAATATTTTCTTCGCATGTTGTACCATGCTTGCTACGTCAGGGAATCTCTTCTTCTTCCTGCGCGAGATTAACAAGTATGAGAACAGATCAGACGGGCATCTCCGGCTCCGATATTTGAAATTTCTTTGCAAAAGAATTGAAAGAGATAATTAGACCAGACACTCCCTTCTGGTGTAAGTTGAGGTCTCAAAACTAGACAGGAATAAAACATCAATAGGATAAAACAACACCTGCTTACACCTAGACCAGACACCTAGAACACATAAGACGCAGTAAGAGGCACTTACTTCGCTCCAATTCCGGCACAGACGAGACACTCAAAACTCCCTGAATTTACATTCGCCTCGTACAACTTCCTCAAGTCGGCATCTTGTTCGAACACGGAAATGTAGAAGTCGTATGCCTTGTCCTCCATTACGTTGCCGCTATGTTGCGCCTCGGGTGCAAAACCTTTGTCAGGTGAAACTCCCAATGTCTTGGCGTCCATTGATAGTTCGATCCTGCTTCCCTCCCCTGATTCATCGGCATCAAACATCTCCAAATCTTCGCTTCCCACGATCCTCGCATCGTCCCTCTCGAAGTCCGACAGCTCCGATTGACTCGCAGCAGGAATGGTGCCGACGTCTTCATTCCCACTACTCGACGACCTGTTAGCCTCAGCATCGACATCATGCTTGGCAGCTTTACCATCCATGTGTTCCTCCGTATCAGACGCGAGAGATTCCCAGTCCGCATCATAATCAGCCCCCGCAGACCGATCGCCTGAAGGCTTCTCTGGTTCGTTGGCAGCTGAGGCTTGCGGGGCTTGAGAGGCCGCAATCTCAAGCTCTCCGAGAGGTGCGATCGAAGTAACTACAGTCTCGTCCTTTCGAGATACATCTACCCCCCCAACTTTTTCTTCCTCGCTGTCAGACCAAGAGTCGTCGTTATCCCACAAACCTTTCTCGACGGATTTTCCCTCTGTTTCGGTTTTCATCTCAGAGTCGTCTCTAGTGGGCGTGATCCTCTCTTCTGCCTCTTTACCCTTCTCAGATGAGTGCGTTTGGTCAAGTGCCTCACGGAGCTCATCCTTGGGGACGGAAGTGGCCTTACTATTGTGCATGAGAAAAAGCTTGTCAGCTTCGGTTTCCCTCTTGAATCTCTTCCCGTGAGATGTATGCGAAACATGAGGGCTATCTCCTGCTTTGGGTGACTTGGGCCAACGCTTCTTGCCCTTCCGAAAGGGTCCCCAATCTTCCCTATCCCTGTCCGGACCGCTACCCGGAGGCCGTGAGGAGCCGTGCCATGGCCCTGGAACTCCACCGTAAGGAATCCGATCATTCCTGGCAAATGGGGCTCCACCGCGTCTGGGGTAATCATTCCTGGGCTGGTGATTTGAATTGCCGTAATAGTATCCGAGGATGTCTCTGTTCGTCAAACTGGCACGGACCGAGTAATCGGGTTTCGGATTTATGAGCCCTCTCCTTCCCATCGGAGCGTTACCGCGATTTGAAGGAAAGGTCGAGGGGCCATCCCCATATCCTCTGGATAATTCGCTCACTTCGCTCATTCCATTAGTGCGCATACCGCTGTGCCAAAATTCTCTCTCTTCGTGACGACTGCTATCCCTACCCCAGTCCATGTCTCGCTGCCCAGCTCTACCGACACCACGGGCTGTTCCGAGACTGCTGCCTAGCCCATACTCCTCTAGCGCATCCGGCACCTCGTCAGGATAACCCCGCCCTTTGCGAAGATTCTCGTGTGGATCCCTACCACGACTGGAAAATACAGCCTCCTCGGGATCCATGAGGTCATCCTGCCCACTGAGGTAAGATTCGCCAAATTGACGCCCTCCGTAACCGGGAAGCGATCGTTTGCCCATCGAGGAATCCGCGCCACCCACTTCCCTGCCATCTCTAAACAACCCAGTCCAATCGACTCGCTTGGTAACCCTAACAGCTTCTGTCTCCCCGTGCATAGGGTACTCGGTTTCCTTCCGTGCAGCATACTCAAGATCTACTTCTTCCCATCCATAAGTGTCTTCCCTCTTCCTGCTTCTACTTCCAGCGACACCGTAGGCGTCTGCTTCCTCCCACACCTCAGGTTCCGTCAGCGTACGAGTAGAGAGGTAACGCTCTTGGCTTGTGGAGCGATTGCTCGGCCACCTCTGTTCGTCGTTGGCTTCTCGCTCTCGATAATGTCGGCTAGATTGAGTTCCAAAGCGGTCCATCGGAGGCTCCGGACTCATGGTTCGAGTAGGCCTCCCATCCCTATACAAGGCAGTAGAGCTAGAGGGAGGAATTTGAGAGCTGAAAAAGCTCGCAGCCAATCTCTGTGCTTCTCTGAGATCGTTGTTTCCTCGAAGACTTTGAAACTCTCTGTCCATCATTGACTCTTCCGTCATGTAGGGAGCCGAGCGAGCTCCGTCATCGGCCTCTAAAGGTGCGGTAAATGAGCGATTGTCGCCCCATGTCGATCTCGTGGATCTCGACGGTTTTTCCTGTATTCGAGAATCGAATCTAGATGCTGGACGGTACATCACTTCTTTCCGCTACGCGGAAAGAATTCTCTCCAATTCAGCAACTCTAGGATGCTCACGACCAACCTCCACGAGAAAAAGTAAATTCTGCCTCTAGGATCGCGGGGCTTATTACCAATTCAACTCCAACGCGGTCTTTCGAGACACCTAATGAATCATAAAAAAGAAAAATAAACAAGCCAAGCTCCTAAAATTGTCGCACCTTGTTCGATACGATAACCTTCCAAGGAGCAAACAAATCTTCTCGCCTTAACTCACAGTCGACTAGAAAGTCGAGCCTCCTCCGCTAGAGGCAAGTTAGGGTAGAAAATCTCAACCAAATCTTCCGGTCAATTTCCATGCCAAAGGCAGTCGTAGAACCCTAGACGAGATAAAACCAATTGCACGTCGGATTTGCAATCTTTCCTCGATCCTGCCGCGTGCCCATACAAGCTCCTACTCCAGCGTCTTGCCCTGCCCTTCAAGCCGAAACCATCACCAACGCTCCGGCCTCGAAACGTTGCTAAAAAACGCTTCGCTCTCAAGGCACCGCGCGACGAGTGAGCGAGCAGACTACACCATAAGCACCAAACCGGCCCTGGCGGCCGCCCTTCTCCTCCTCCTCCACCTCCTCCTTCCCGATCTTCTCGTCGTTTTTCGTCTCTCCAATTCGCATCTCTCGTCCTCCAATCCCCTCCGCTCTCCTCTCCTCTCCCTCAAACACACAGCACAGCACAATCACCACCTCACAGCAAGCGAAGAAAAGAACTTGTGCAATAGCGTCTCACCGTCCGGACCCTGAATCCTTTCCCCTTCCTCTGTCTCTCTCTCTCTCTCGCTCCCTCCCCGTCCTCGTCCTCGTCCTCCTCGTCGTCCGCCTCTCCTCCGTGCTGCGCGAACTTCCACGCCCGCGAGAAGAACGTGTGATCTTGAGCTTGCTCCGATGGCAGAGCTGCACGTAAAAGGTCATACCCCTCAGAGCCTCACAGCCTCCTCCGACCCTCCCAGCAGCCCTGTGCCCCGTTCGCCCAGTGTTCATGTCACTCCGACCACGCACGAGGTTACTGCGGCATCGGTTCCTGAGGTACCGTCATCTACCGTAGTCGCAGTCGCGGTCGTGGTCGTCGACAACTCGCGGTCCCTTTCTCTCGCCTGCGTACGTCCCGTCCCGCACAGGAAGGGAGGGGAAGGGAGGGAGGTCCAAGCCCGCCGGAGTTCTTAACCGAAGAGAGTGCTCGACCCAAGAACTCAAGTTCTTATGCGCGAAAAGCGACATTCAGCATCCCGTTCTCGCGGCCCATGTATTTACTGCGGTGACGCCTGATTTGGACGTGACTGACGGCGATCGGGATCGAATCGACGTACGGAGCATGCAGCTGCCGGATAGGCATGGCGCAAGTGGGGCTGTGGTGAATCTTTGACGCTGTGGAATTCGCGTGATTTGCAGCAAGCTTTTTTATTCGTAGGTTTCAGGGCGTACGTACAGCGACACTGCAGAATGCAGCCTTCGCAGCTCAAACTGCGGAGCGAAGCAGAAGGACTTCATAAAGCCCGGAGCAATTCGCGCGAGACTTTGTACCCAACCATCGCCATGGGTGAACAACAGTTTGTGACTCGGCTATTTGTATGTTTGGTTTTGGATTCATGCGTGGAATGTCACGACCTTGGACGTCAACTTCATACTGGTGGCGCATCTAGCAGCTGGCAAAACAATTCTCCGTATCACTATCGGCATTTTCATCCAGTATTTCATCACGATAAGCTTTCATTACTGTTCAACACAAAGATTCAGTCGTAAAATACACCTTAATATTTCCATCTTTTAGAACTCGCGAAATCCGATTAAGCTGTAACGACAGATAACGAAAAGTCAGCTCTTGGTCGCAGGACGTGTTTACGATAGCGATAGTCACGCTGTATCTTTCCCGCGAAGCAATGTGTGGAGGCAATCATCATTAACAAAGAGAAGGGATAATTGGTTCTAAACTCTAGGATAATGTGTGTCCATAAAATCAATCAATGAGCAACTAACTATACTATGATCTGATATGACATGACTTGTAATGAAAATGATACTTGGATTGAAAAATCAGATAAATAAATAATATTAAATCAAATTACCGGGAGAATGAAAGACCCCGCCAAGTTGTACAGCGAAGAAACCAACAGGTAGGATGGCCTGGAGCATCGAACTGAGAATATACACACTGCTGCACCTAAGAGTATTATATTATGCTAAATACGACCTGAGGTGAAAGGAGCAGGGCAGGTGACCAAGGGTGAGAAGGCACCCACCCATATAGCTAACATTTATAAAAGCGGGTGCGGGTGAGAGATGTCGCTGTCTCAATTTAATATTCACTTTCCGTCTTTCGGCCCTGCGGGTCGGGGGCTGATGCGTACAACCCAACCAACGACGACCGCGGGTTCGAGTGCAAGATGCCAAGTTGGGCGACGGTTCGCAGCCCTTTCTTGCTGTGGATTGGATCATGGCAGTGCAGTGCAGTCGTTGAGGCTGATTTACGCCCCCAATGCAGTGCCCGCTTTGGTGCACCGGGTCACACAGAGCATGATTTCACCGGCCCTCCCTCTCCCTCCTTCTCCCTCCCTCCTCCCTCTGGAACCCTAAGGCGGTCCTAGTCCCCGTTAGCATCTCCTCCTCGCCTACGGGACTCGTGCCCCGGCAACGGGCGACAGCACCCCCCACCCCCACCGCCCCTCCCCGGCTGGCTGCAGGCAGACTCGGTGAGAAATTCAGCGGGGCCGCCGCACAGCACAGTAGCTTCCGGCCTGCCATACCCCCTCCCCCCCCACCCTTCAGCTCTTCCTTCATCCTGGCGAGAGCTGTGTCTGTAATTAGTGTCGTGGGGTTCATGGGGAAGGAGAGGAAGGTACTGGAAGCTGGCAAAAACTGAAGGCCCCGGAGAGTCAAGCGTCCTTGCTCTGTCTGCTGGGCTCTCTGGCGCAAGGGAAGGAAGGAAGGAAGGGAGAAGAATTTGCGAGGGAAGGGGAAGGGCAGGGAGGAGGAGGCGTCTGGATAGAGGGGGAGGAGGGCGAGAAGCGGTCGTCGGTCTGACCGAGCCTCCTCTTGGACAGTACAGGTGTCTGCCTGGCTGCTGCCCTGGGGGGGAGGGGGGGGGGGGGGGCGAGGACGCGAGGCCGGATCGAGCAGCAGGACGGAAATTAAGGGCGCGGATGTACTTTTGGGGGGTGGAGGACGGGAGCGACACTTTTGGCGAGAGGGCGACGGGCGGGCGGTAGGACCGTAGAGTGGCAGTAGGGAGTAGGGACTGAGGAGGGGAATATCAGTAATTTTAGTCCGCCTGGCGTCTTGCTTTGCTTTGCTTTCCTTTCCTTTCCTTTCCTTTCTTTGCTTTCTTCGCTTTGCAGCTTTGGAGCTTTGGTTGGGTGTTGTTGGCTTTCGTACTCGCGTGTTCCTTTGCAGCAGCAGCAGCCTTGCTTTTGCTCTTGCTCGTCTTGCCATATGCCTGTGAGGATGCAGTTGTCCGGATCGGGTTCACGCGTCTGAGCTCTCTCTCCCTTCTTCCCCGCTCCTCGTCGACCTTCTCTGTCTGGCGTCTGTCTGTTGGAAGTGCGAGTGGAACGTCGACGGGGTGCTCGCGAGCGAGCGGATACCGAGTGCACCCTCGGACGACTGTGAGGGGAGGGAGGGGAGGGAGGGAGGGGGGGGGAGGGGGGAATTGGGCGAGCTCGGCAGAGTGTGGACGGATGGATGCCGCTGACGGGGTCAGTGTTGCCGACGCTCCAGCACACCTTCGTGCGCGATAAGTATGGCCAGCTCTTGTCCAGGAAGCGTGGAAGGGGATGCAGCAGAAGCAGCAGCAGCTGCCTCGATGCCACCCATCTATCTCGGTCAATGTACTTGGCTGACCTCGTCCGCGCTGTAACGGACTCGCGTCGAGCGCACCAGGAGGAGATTCGTCTCTTGGCTGAGTCGCGACCCAGACGGACTGTCCTTCCGAATGCGCATTCTCGTACGAATAGCGGAGCGAGCTGATTTGCCACTCGTGTGAAGCCGCGCATAATAGCGATGGGATCAAGCCTTTGGCAAGGAGATCCTGGATTCACGGGTCACTGGGTCGTGGATGACAGGCTCGTGCCATCGCCGTGCAGTCGTTGAAGTGAAGCTCTGAGTCGGATGGCATTCTTTCGCTGAGTGTCACCATCTGTCGATCATGGAGTTGAAGGTAATGAGGCCATTTGAGTTCCACTAGGCATCGTTGTGCTTCCGCTTCCTCCTTCGTCTAATTACAGACAAACATTTTTTGCTGAACCTTTCAAACTTCGACGCCGCTCTGGAGTGGCTCTGGGAATTTCCTCTTCTCTCGTTCTGGCTGGTACTTCACCACTCTGGCAAAGTGTACATTTCTGGTCTCTGCCGATCGTGCACTTGCCATCTCAAACGACGAGTTGGAATGTACAGTACATACATACTGAGGACCAGAGACTGGAAGGGGTGGTGCAGCGAGGGCCACACGGAGTCCGTGTTTGTGTGTGTGATCAGGGCCCACGAAGACACTCGCAGCGTCCTGCCCGTGGCACCTACAAAATGTGCATGTTGTACTCAATTTAATCGCCCGGGCCTGGACGACTGGAATGCAATTTGGCCCGGCTGAGCACATGGTTTTGAACGCTACTCGAATTGTAGCGCGAGATGTTGAACGAAGAACCTTGTTGTCAAATATGGCGCATACGAGAGCATCAGAATATCCTCCCGGGTCCTGATGACCACGACTAGGTCAGCAACCCATCGCCCGTGCGAAAGTGACAGATCGCATGGATCTTGAGTAATACCCGAGACTGTGCTCGGCCGATGTTGAACATATCTTCGTCGCACTGTTGGACTTTGAGCCTGTTGGACTCTGCGTGGGCTCCCACGGACCGTGTCCGGTACCTTCAAGAGCGAACTTCGTTCTCCCCCGAGGGACCTTGAAAACCCGGATCGTCCTGTACAGCTTTCAAGTTCCTGTTTCTGAAACTCCTGCGAAATAAGGGCTGCTTTTATCCTCCTCGTCCGCGTATCCGGTCCCGGGATCAGATTCTTGGTATATTATCGTGCTGTTGGTCAGCCATTTCTGTTTTCGAGTCCTAGTGCTTATTCCTAGCTCTGTCCGGCCTTTGGGTCGAAAATTACAACACGCGTTGTAGCTGGTCTGGCAGATATCAGGAAAGCTCATAGGGTGCATTTTTAATATATTCTAGCGTTCCATTGACTCGACCAGCCACTGAGCCTCTGCGCTTTCCAACGACGTGCAATCTCGTTCTGGACTTTAGGCGCTGATTGAGGTCTCCTTCCCCGTCGATGTTGATCAGTGACAGCTCTAATTTCTTCAAGAGAGTTCCCTTGTTCATTCGAAAACCAACTTCCGGAAACCTCTCGATTGAAAGTGCGGGTAATCCGCAGTCCGCAGTATAGTTTGGTTCTCGCGAGTATCTTCAAGAATAATCCTCCAAAAAAATCCCCCACTTTTTGTGGGCTCCTCAGAGAACAGAACATGAGCGTTGGCATATGACTGGTCATGTTACTCTGTGCATCTCTTTGATTCTCCTATGATTGAGGATATTCATCGCGTCTCGCAGTGATGGACGCCGAATGGGCTTTACAGCACTAACCCCAATTGCATGTTTTGAATGAGTTTTTCAGGTAATCTGAACATGTTTTATCTTGCTCGTCAGGTTTCGGAAGAATCAGGCGGATCGAGGATTGTTGCGAGGCTTTGATAGGCTTTGATAGGAAAGGCTGAGGAGCTCAGCTGTGGTCAATCTCATGCGACAAGGAGAGTGGAGCAAGTATCAACATGTTGTGCCCAAGATAGTCAGCCTCGTGAGGATGTCGTAGATATGGCGGAGGTGGGGCTCTCTTGACCTTTCGCATCTTAGCAATCAGGATGGGGAGCCAGGTTAGCACGATGAAGGCCGTGCTGGTCCCAGACAGCAGCAGGAGGAAGAGTAGCAAGCCCGAGAAGGGAAAAATAGGTATCCTCTCTTTTGAGGTAGCAAATGTTATGTCAAAAATAATGCTCCTGTGGCAGTCTTTAAGCGACCATGAGATTATGCGGCTTCGCACAGATGTTGTAAAAGCGGAAGGAGTCCTGAACTTGGTATCTGAGAACGAAGCCGTCCTCCTCAGTCTTGCCTGCATGGAAAAGCTCCAGGATCTTACCTCTATAGCCGGGGCGGTAGCCCGTGTGGGGAAGAGATGTCAGGAACCGATACTCAATGGTTTTGAGCATGTGTACAACGATATTCTGAAGCAGAATATAGATGTTGGGTCCTGGGAATACCCTCTAAAAGATATGGAAGGAAAGATCAAGAAGATGGAACAATATATTGCATCGACTTCGAATCTGTATCAGGAGCTAGAGATACTCGGCGATTTGGAGCAGGCTATCCGCCGAATGCAGGATGATGGGTCAGGTACACCACGAGACAGAGAGACCTTGGTCGCATTGGAACAGAAGGCAGCATGGCATCGTCAGGAGATCAAATACCTGAGAGATCTCTCTCTGTGGAATCGGGCTTATGACAAGATCGTCATCCTTCTAGCTCGAACTGTGTGTACCATTCACGGAAGAATTTTGAACGTTTTCGGATCCCCTCTGCTCAAGCTGCCTCAGCTGTGTCCTGTGGAAAGACTAAAAGATGGTTATCCATCTCCTTTAACTCTTCCTGGACCTTACAGTAAGTTTCCGAATCGAAGAGGCTTGGATATACCGGCTAGCCATGCTGCTGCAGCTACCAACGCGAGCCTGCTTCCCTCTGCAGGCTCCCACGACCGAACTCACGGAATCGGGATGAGTGCTACGGTTCCAGCTCTACCTAGCAGTACCTCTACCTCCAGAGTGTCCCCTGTGGTCTCGGACATTCGACCATCACCTGCGCAAGCTCTGGCTTCGGGCCCAATGATCACGAATAGTAAGCAATCTTATGCTTGTTATTTTCCTCTGTATGGAGAGTGCTTACAGGCTCCCAATAAGGGATCTGTGGATTTCTCCCAGCCATTTGATGTCGACAACACGCCCAGTATTTTGAATGATAAGGTAGAGGGCCCGTGGACACGTAATGCTCAGGGTGGGATTCCGAACGGTGGCCCTGGCAACTCCCACTCATATGTGAGTGCTGCGCAAATGATTGAGATGAAAAGCCCTCGTACGAGTGCAGTGGATCTACAACCGCGGAAGACAGCAGCAATCGATCGTCCGCGAAGAAGCACAGTGGACCAACTTCAGTCCGATGTATTTGGTCAAACGGGCCAAACAAGGAAAGTTTATTTTGACCCCAAAAACAGGCATCTCAATGCACCGACGTCTACACTTGGTGGTGCGGCCTTGGCTATACATTACGCTAATGTGATCATCATCGTTGAGAAGATGGTTAAATTTCCACGTCTCATATCTCATGATTCGAGGGATGATTTGTATCACATGTTACCGAATTCCGTGCGGATGGCCTTGAGGTCTAGGTTGAAGGCATCAAATAGGGGAAGTGTTTATGGTTTCGATGCAGGGATCGCCGGAGACTGGAAGGAGGCGTTGGAAAGAATCCTGGCCTGGTTGACACCTCTGGCTCACAACATGATTCGATGGCAGTCCGAGCACAACTTTGAGCAGCAGCAATGCGCTGCTCGCTCCAACATACTCCTGCTCCAAACTCTCTTCTTTGCTGACTTAGCTAAAACAGAGGCAGCCATCACCGAGCTCCTTGTGGGACTGAATTACATATGCGGTCACGAGAAGGAGAGGTCCAGTTTGAGCGGGGAGTACGATAGTCAAAAAGAGGTTGATGATTATCTTGAGCTATTCTAGTTGGATGTATATTTGTAAAGTTTATTGGGAGCTGGAGTCAAAAAAGCTGCCTGAGAAGCTCCTCGTAAACTTGATATCAGCTAGTTAATGCACATTGTACATTCTTTTCTGCGGGGAAAAGTTAGGATGCGCTTGCTGAATATGCAAGCGAACAAAACATGCAAACAAAAGTGACTGGTTAGGAATGTTCTCTGGAGCAGCTGCGAGGAATGCATGGCTGATGAGAAGTGATGTGTTTACCTAGATACAATTGATTCTTGCTCAGTGCTTTGCTTTGAGCACATTTTTTCGTAACCTTCTGAGAGACGTAGGTCTCAGTCAGCTTCAGATTCCTATTATCCTAAGATAGAGGATGATAGCACCCTTCGATCCACACTAGTTAGGAGTTCGAAGCATTCTGAAAGCGCGTTTCACGCAATTTTGGAGAAAAAGTTCGAGTTGTTGGTGAATGTTAGGTCAGCTTTCGTCTACTTTACACTTAAAATCTCGTCGTCTCCTATGCCAGCTTCCTCCTAAGTTTAACATCTGTATAATACATTCTATGTCAAATATCCGAACCCGTGTGTGATGTTCTACTACTCCGGGTTATCCCATGGTCCCTGTCGGACCATGTAGGGACCCTTATATCTGCAAGTATTGTGCGGGAAAATTTATCTTCATCATTCAATTTGATGATAATATAAGACGGCAAAATGTGCATTGCTGACTGCGGGTGTCCCAGAAACTCGGGTGCTGTATATCAAGCATGTAGTTCGTGTAACCTTGTTTGTCATGCATCACGCAGTTTGAGGCTGCCGGGAAGTATGCGAGTTTCTCTGAATGACATTGAATGGATCTTCAGAAGAGATAGCCACGCAATGGTGCAAGTCCCGTCTTTTCGGAAAGCACCGAAAGCATTGAGTTGGGTGAAATACACGTTTCGTCATGTGTGTAACTGCTACTGAGCCCGAAACCTTCTCATGGATCTGAGCTGTACACGCCGTGTATGTCATCTCTGGAAACATACTCTGTATTCCCATCGTTGTCAGTCATTGAAACCAGGTCCTAGAACTATCCATCTACGAGCATGTGAATGAATGTTCGCCGGCACAGGTATGGCCCAGAACGCCCACGCGCATCGCTAACAGCCGAGAGACGCAATACGCGCGCGGAACCATCTCGACTATGCTCGAGAAGTTCTACAAAGAGATGCGCAATACTACTTTCTGTACATTTTAGAGGCAGACGGATCCTGTGACCTGTCATCGGGCATCCAAAACATGTCGGAAAAACGGAGAATTCTCAACCAGATCTCAGAGCCGACAACACGGGATCGGTGATTAGACCGAACTGGTGACATGTGACAGCAACTGAAATTTGTATTTTCACTGTTCTTGTCTTTGCACCGAACCTGTACTTAACAAAGCTACGGAGCTGTACACCCACTTTTCTGCCCTGCTACAGAGGATTAGAGCCCACTTCAGTGAGAACGTGCTCCATAATCCCACGCTTGGTTGACATAACGTGGAGAGAGGTTTCCCGGACAACGAAACCTCAAATTACTTGGATAAAAGTATCTTCCTTTACCTCACTGGACTTTGTGAACTCTGGTAGAGCATATGCTCGGATGCAAGTTGGGAGGAGAAGATTATCCGCCCAAGCCGATCTGCACGACCTTGGTCTACTTTCGATAAGTCCCTGCGAACAGCTGAAACTATTACCTGCGGGCCGCAATTGCAGTGATCCTGCAGCTCCACCTCTGAAAGCCATGTACTCTGTATATACCAGCGTGTTATGAAGCTTGTGTCCTAAGCGACCGGTCTTCTTAAAAACCTGACATTACGTCCCTGAACACAAAGTATATGCGAAAGTTGACGGTCACCAAATCTCTGTAGGAAATCCTTCCGAAGTTTGCTGGCATCACACACCTACTTGTGACGTATGTGACCTCAGTTCGGTTTTATCCCTCAGTGACAGGAGGACAGGGTCAGAGAGCTCGAAGGAAACGTACTAAATCCACCGGAATATCTGGGGACACCCAAGTGCAAGTTTCGACTCATTCTAGATTTGCATCGGTCCCTCGACCCTTGAGTTGGGAGGTGAAAATCTCTGAGACTGCACAGTGAGCTGAAAATGGGTTTCGCCATGATAAACAGAACTACTTAACGTATGATGATGGTGCTCTTACAATGTCGAAATTTGGCACGCAGAAGCCATTTGTAATCAAGCTTCTTTCCCATTTGAGAATTTTCAACTATCTTATCACATTTTATTCTACTGAGCACATATATCCTCATTGTGAACACGACTTTCATTCTGAGCTTAGCATTAGTCTATATGACCACTGAGCGTTGCTCCTCAAGATCAATGTTGAGGCTTTATCATTTTGCTACGTCTTCAATCTCCGTGAGTTACACTTTGCTTAGTTTCTTCACGGCTCTATGCATATAACTTCTTCTTTGTACTACTCCGTCTTCATGCTTCAGCTGTTTTCAACTTCAACTTTCATTTATTATAGTTGTCGTCCTTGCCTTCAACTCCAAGAATAACGAGGTGCACTAGAGATCTCCCTCCCACGAGTAGGTTCCGTCTCCTGTGCCCTCGCTATTTCCGCTTTCCCTTCAGGCCTTGGCTTGGCGAAATCATTCCCCGGGCCAGCTAAATTTGGCGAGGCTTGGCAAATGTACCTCTCGTCAGCCCTAAGTGGGCTTTTTTGAGGCCGCGTGCAACCTTCCCTCATTGTCTTCAATTCACGTTTGAAATCCTCTCTCACCGACCAACCTGTTTTGTTTTACCTCTCAAGAAGCTCTTTGGCTCCCTCCCTCCCTCCCTTGGTTGTCGCAATTCTCATGACTATGTTTCTGACGAATTTTTTTTTACCTTAGTGATTTGCGGATACTATCTTTGAGGAGTGGTTTGTGCTATTTTTATGTTCACTCCCATGGTGATACGTGTAGAGTTCCTCCCCTTGGCTGATGAGATATACCTTCAGTTGGTGTGTGTAGCCCTCTCTGCGTCTGTTGGTCCTTATGGAGCATGTTGAAGCCCTCTGTTTCGCTGGGAGATTCAGACATTGTTTGTATCGCCATTATTCATATCATTGTGTAATCCTTGCCTTATGCATTGATTCATGTACTTTTTCTAATAATGACCAAAAACAGAATGAAGTGTAACACAAGTGTTATAAAGATAAAAAATTTCATAAAAAAATTTAAAATTTTGATTTTCTTAAAAGATGAAAAAATAAAATCTTATTATAATATCCAATATTCTTCCTTCTAAATTGATAACAAAAAGTAAAGATCTATATGGATATCAATGAGTAGAATTTATTTTTGATTTGCATATTATTAAGAGCATAATGTCAATTTGTAAGAATCACGGAAATTACTAACATGGTACTTATAAATTGTACATTAAAAATAAATTAGAAAATATCTTACTTTAAATTTTTTAATTCAATATTTTAATCTTATTTTGAATTATCCGTTCACTTTTCTTAAAATTATAAAATAATTTTTTTTCAACACTATTTTGAAGTTCACATTTATCAAAAACTCATTAAAATTAACAAATTTCAGTAACATTGATTTCTCTATTTGTTCAAACTTATTGAATTTTTTAAGAATAAAACATTAAATTTTTACATCATTTTCAGAGAAAAATAATAATTCAATTTGATTTTAAAAACTCATGATTTATATTTATTTTCGAATTTTTAATTTTTAAAAAACAATTTAAAATATTTGAACAATAATGATTAAAACTTGAAATTTTCTTTGAATAAAGACCAATGGCTGACATCAAACAAGTACTAACTTACAAAAAAAAATTTACCCAATTTTTTAAAAATTTATTATTCATAAATTGTATAAATAGTAATTTACAACCAATACTCTTGCCAATCGTGATTAAATTCCAAGAATTAAGAGTTTATTTGCATGTATCCATTTTTCAATGAACAGTTTTAATTTTAATTTTGCGTTTTTTCACGTCATCATCAATATTATAAAAATATGGTTAACAAATTCAAAATTATAAATATCAACAGGTTAATTAAAGATTTAAAGTTGTAATCATATTGAATGCCATATTTGTACAATTGTACAATCATTACTAGATGTTATGTTTTATAAGTAATGTAAAGTTATATACATTTATCGATAAAAAAATATATATTACAATTTTTTGAGGAAATAAATTATATGTTAAAAATATTATGTGATGAATATATAAATATGGGTGTATATGAGTTTACAAAGTTCATGAATATAGGAAGTATTCTTCCGGATATATATTTCAAAATGTAGATGTAAAAAAATCAAAATTTTATACTACAATAGACTTATACACCTAAAAAATAGATGCAATTTCAATTTTTTACATATGATGTGTTTAGAATGAATATATATATATATATATATCATTGCGTTAAATAAATAAATGTACATTGTTTTTTTGAAATTAATTGTTCTGAAGTATATTTTTTTATTTCATAAATTTATATCTTATATTTTTTATATTTTTATAGTTAAAATAATGAAATTATAATGACTTTTCGTTATAATAAATTTATGCCAAATTTTAAAATAGTTGAATTCTAAAATTTTAAAAATATAATAAGAAAAACATTCTTTCTGGGAACTTAGAAATACAAGAATTTGCAATAACAAATTTGAACTAGAGAGTGAAAAATTGAAATGTGTAAGGATTTCTTATCAAACAATATGATATCTTTTCCTAGTGCTTTATGTCAAATTCTTAAACTAATGTCATGTAAGTGTCATATATGAAGCACTAATCACACTTATATGAAGGTATACAATCAAATGTGTAAATGAAAAATCAAATGGTTATGCATTTATAAAAGTACTAAAATCTTTTCATATTATTTGTATGATATTTGACTTCATAATATATTTAAAAATATGCCAAGTAATAAGTTTTCAATTTTTTTATTACAAAATGATGATACATTTCACTTTGACATATTTTACATTTTTGTTTTTTTTGAATCTGTTGTAATATAATTCCTTTAGAATTGAATGAATTTGTAAAATTAACTTTGATGTGGATCATCATGAAAATGTTAGTCATTATTTGATGAGATCAATGCAAAAAATAACACACTTGATGAAACCCAATAAGTTTCATTTTAACGTATCTCATTGACGATGATTTTGGATAGGAAGCTAATGGCATTTCTTCGGATGCAGTCATGGCAATACACTTCCGAGATTACTTCGGCTTCATGGCTGAAATATTATGAACACTTTGCTTTGAAGTTATACGCAGCGTCAAAATCAAACATTTATTCTTGTCCGCTTTGGACCTCAATGTTGTTTGTTGTAAAGCGTCACAATTACAATTGTCCATCACAATTGTAATTATTCTAGACTGATCAATGAGAAAAAGTTTTATGGTCGATACATTTGTAGTATCATGCTTTCTCCTCCAACCTACTTGTTGCGTTTGCCAAATTGTGGAGAAAACCGCTAGACTCATCATCATCTCTTGCCGATCTCCTCACTTCTATGCTTTGGACATTGCTGCCATCATTGCAAACCAATCCCTACCACAAGATTCACAAGAAGTTCA